TCATTGTGGTTTTAATTGCATTTCTCTAATGATTAGAGATGTTGAGCATTTTTTTATATGTCAAGGAGTATTTCTATTAAGCTATGAGAAATAACATGATGGAGTCTGCTCAAAAACTTTTCTGCTCAGAAAGAGGATTTATATTGAAAGACCCAGATGTAATACCTACATGCAGAGCCCTCATCCTCCAGTAACAGAACACACTGGCATAAAAATATTATTTCTTTGGCTATTCTTTTTCTTAGACTTTTTTCTCTTATTTTATCCAATATTCAGGTCACAATTGAATCACACCTATCTTTCTGTAAAAGATAATGATACAAATATCACAACTATATTTTCCAAACTAAAAATAACCTCACAGAGGAGATGTTTTTATAAGAATACTGGGAAGGACGTTTGAAATTGGGACGGTTTTAAAAGATCCTTTCAACATGCAAGATAGACCAGTGGATTTTAAAGTAACTGTGTAGTGCACTGATGTAGTTTCAGACTCCAACAAGTCTTTAACACAGTACCATTTGCTGAGTTTCAGTGTATTGTCAAAGAAGGATGTCCATGAGTATCTGAAAAGACTCTTAAAACACTCTCCCTTTTCAGTGCCATAGCCTATGTACGTCAACCAGAACAACAGATCATAATACATTGGGTGCAGCCGCAGGATAAGAGAATCCATTTAGAGATTAAAGAGTTGGGTTAGGGTTAGGTTTTGTTTTACAAAAATGTAAAACAATCCTCCTCCTCTTCTATGTTCTTGTTTTATAAAACCTAATTGTTTTTCAATAAAAGTTATTTATATTAACATGTATTGGATTTATTAAGTTGATAATTTAATTATTTAGTTTTAACTTCTAATACAGGTAATCTAGATAGATATAATCTACATAAAGAATTTTTAAGAGTGTGAACAGATCCTGACACCAAGAAGTTTAACAACCTCTGTCTGGGAGTGAGGAGCACCATTCGATAAACCCCATCCTCGCTTGGAGTTTATGATGAGCACGGTGGTGTCTCACTGTCAAATGTGAAAGAACAAATGAAGATCCCCAGACTTTGAAGCAGGCTCTAACATGAATGACAGAAGCCAAAATGGTTAAGCAGGGAAAGGGAGCTCAGCAGGAAACAAGGAACATGGAAGAAAAGTACAAAATCATCATCATCCTATTTTTGAAGAGAAGATTTTACACTCATGACGTAAGAACAGAAACACAAGCAAGAAATGTCCAAAAAGCATGTTTTTTAAAAACTTTGAAATAAAAAATCTGATGGTAGAAATGAAAAAATTTAATAAAAGGGATAAAGAAAAAGTTGAAGTCTCCCAAAAAACAGGGCGACCAATGAGAAGATGGAAAACAAGGAAGAATGAGGAAAATGAGAGTATCGGAAGCAGACATCCACAAGGTGACTAAGAGGAGCTATGACAGTGGAGAGGAGAAAAGACGTAATTCAGGAACAAAGATCCTTACGTGTTCTGGTCCAGGATCTCTTGCATGCTTAAAAATGACTAAGGACCCAAAGAGCAGCCATTGCAGTACATCAAGCTCCATAGAGACAGCACCCGGCAAGTAGAGCCCGACGGGCCCTGAGTGACTCTGGGCCTCACTGAGGAAAAATAACTGAACGCGGGCAAAGGAGATCCTGATAATACTAGAGGCAAAATGTCATACTCCGTTTTTGTGCAAACTAGTCAGGAGGAACACAAGAGGAAGCACCCAGATGCTTCCGTCAACTTCTCAGATTTGTAAGAAGTGCTCAGAGAGGTGAAGATCGTGTCTGCTAAAGAGAAAGGAAAATTTGAAGACATGGCAAAGGCTGACAAGGCCTGTTAGGAAAGAGAAAAAAAACCTATGGGGAAACAGAAAGCAAGGTCAAGGATCCCAACGCACCCAAGAGGCCTCCTCCAGCCTTCTCTTATTCTGTTCTGAGTATCGCCCAAAAATACAAGGAGAACGCCCCGGTCCATGCATTGGTGATGTTGCAAAGGAACCGAGAGAGGTGGCGTGACACTGCTGCAGGTGACGAGAAGGCTGTGAAGCTGAAGGAAACTGCAAAAAGGATGTCACTGCACACCGAGCTAAAGGAAAGCCTGAGGCAGCAAAAAAGGGAGTCGTCAAGGCTGAAAAACAGCAAGACAAGGAATAAGAGGAAGATGAAGAGGAGGAGGATGCTGAAGAAGATAATGGCATAAATTGGTTCTAGTGCAGTTTTTTTTCTTCTCTATAAAGCAATTGACCCTCCTGTACACAACTCCTTTTAAAGAAATTGAAATGTAAGGCTGTGTAAGATTTGTTTTTAAACTGTACAGTGTCTTTTTTTTGTGTAATTAACACACCGAACATGTCTTGTGATAGCCCTGTCCTGGTGGCAATTTCAATAGCCGATAACCTTGCCTGGCACAGTGCCAGGGTTGTAAATTGGCTTGGAAACGTAAAGCAGGTTCTTGTTGCTGCACAGCACAAATTAGTTATATGTGGGGATGGTAGTTTCTTCATTATCTTCGGTTGTCTCTGATGTGGCTTATACAAAATAATTGTTCCATTAACTGAATACCATTCTAATTGCAAAAGCAAAAAGTTGCAGCTGTTTTATTGACATTTTGAATGCTTCTAAGTAAATACAATTTAAAAAAATAAAAATTAACCTACATATTTCTAGAAAAATAATTTCACTACTTTTGTCATTACATTTGTTTTGGAATTGTCTTACATTTTTACAGATCTCTTTACTGTCTGACTTGCCAGAAGACAGCTGAATTCTCATATCTGCTTTTACTTTCCATCTGTTGTGATATCACACATCATGTAGCCTCTGGAAAAGTTCACTCTGCTCACGAGAGAAAGTAAAAAATCCAATAATGTCTGAGTATGTTTATGAAACAGTGACATCAAGGACCTCTTGAAGGGGTCTCAGTAACCCCAGGGGTCACTGAACCATACTTGGAAAACCACTGCTCAAGGTCATTTCCCAAATTTTCAGATTGGCTCAGCACATGAAAAAAGACCCATCCCAAAGCCTACCATCACAAAATTTCATAATTCTGTTAACAAAGAGAAAACAGTTTCCAGAATTTAGCAACAACAAAAAAAGTTGCATGGAACCTGGACCAGGGATCTGAATGATACTGGAATCCCAATAGCAGCATTGGAATTTTTAAGACAATAGATAGTTCCCTAAATACTCAGAGAAAATGACTTCCAACCAAGAATTCTATAGCCACAGACATTATCAGCCAAGTGTGAAGGGAGAATATTTTGAAACGGGAAAAAGAAAAGTTGCCTCCTATTACCCTTACTCAGAAAGCTACTAGTGGATGCTGTAATCTCCAAAAGGAGGGAATACGTCAGAAATGGTAGCTAAGAAGCAAGGCATCCAGCACAGGGGATTAGCGAAGGCCATCATCAGGAAGGTGTTGAAGAGAGAACCCAGCAGGCCTGAAGAGCAGCCCGGGTTGGCACAGAGGACAGAGGTCACCAAGAAAGATGTGTATTCAATAGGATGCCTGGTGTTTGAACACAATGAGACAAGATCCTTACTTCTGGCATACAGTTTGAGAATATATTAGTGGTGTTTGCTTTGAAAACAAAGCAAAAAGACAATTTTAACTGCAGGGAAAACACAGTTCTACAGGAAAGGAAAAAAAATTATTGTATACTCCAAAACTTAAATAGGAATAATATTTACATAGTTTTAAAGATGTAAGTTCAGACATCTTAATCAAATTGCATAATAGAACTATTCGAGAAGATGGCAGGAAGGGAAGGTTAAAGAAATTAAGAAGTAAATAATGTGTTGTTATTTTTCAGGTCTAGATATTGTCAGCATGCTTAGAAACATGGATCTGCTTACAGCAGAAACAGCTAAAGAGTCAAAAATGCTTCTGGGCATGCCAGTCAAGAATGACAAACAGAAAGCAAGAAACTTTCTTGTAGGACTATTTAACTTTTTATTAGATATGTAATATATAGATAATTAAAATAAACACTTAACATATTAAAATATATATTAATGCAACTTATATGGAATGCAATTAAGAAATGTGTTAACACTTATACTGAGAATGTCCTTTGACCTGTCAATTATAGAATTACATCCAAGGGTGGGAGATTAGTTAAATTAATTATGGTACATCCACACAATGAAATATTATGCTGTTACTTAAAATAATGATACTGCCATTAAAAAAATATAGATTTACATTTGTTTTTTGTTTGTTTTTGAGACGGTGTCTCACTCTGTTGCCCAGGCTAGAGTGCAGTGGCATCATCATAACTCACTGCAACCTCAAATGCCTGGGCTTAAGTGATCCTCCTGCCTCATCCTCCCAAGTAGCTGGGGCTACAGGTGTGTGCCACCATGCTCAGCTAATTTAATTTTTGTAGAGATGAGGTCTCACTATGTTTCTCAGGCTGGTCTCACGCACCTGGCATCAAGCAATCCTCCCACCTTGGCCTCCCAAAGTACTAGGATTACAGGCATGAGCCACCATGCCCAGCCTAGATTTACATTTGAAGAAATATATTTTCTTCCCTAGCATATCATCCTTTAAAGCACTATCTCTGTTTATAATTTTATATTTGTTAGTGTAATTTTTCATTGAATTATCTGACTTTTCCAATGGATTGAGATCCATAAGACCATATCTTTTTGCTAACTGATATGTTCTTAATACTTTGCACTGTACCTGGTACCTAGGTGCTATTTGACAAATGAATTAGTGTGCATGAGCATTTGTGCAGACAATAACAAACATCTAGAAAACTTACATGTTAGGCAAAGCTTATCTCTGGTGGGAGAGTTACAGGTCCAACCTGTGTATAAATTTCTGCTCCACCTGGAGCAAGTCCCTTATCTTAGCCTTGGATACAATGGCAGTAGGTCCTCATCCAATCATATGATTTCTTGTAAATGCCATAGAAATGTTTAAACTTTTAAGTTATATAAAATATCTTCAACCAGGAAACTACAATCTAATACTTCCTATTATTTTTTTTTATTATTAGTGAACTTCTGCAAGACTTGGAAAACTGTGAAAATGATCCTGTGGCCATAGCAGAATGTTTTGTGTCCAAGGTAAGCAGGGTTCATTAATCTGGGCCAACCAAGACGGATACAGAGTACAGATTATTTTTATTTTAAAGTTAGAATGACTAGTTTGTTCCATATTGGATGAAGGTAGCCACTAATCTCTGTTTTTTTATTTGGTTTTTTCAACAACAAGGAAAAAAATACACTATTACTGGGGAGAAGGAAATGCTGATGTAGTAGCTCTCCTAGAACTTGTATAGTAACTAAATAATGTTACTCTTTCCTAGGAAAAACTAAGCTTGAGAGAGGAAGTCCAGAGTAGAAGAATGGTAGAAAAATGAATACATATAAAATACCACTAAGCTACTAATAAAATTCCAGTAGAATCTAGATGTTTTATATATAATATATGTGGCACTCACCTGGTCTCTATGATTATCTTTTGGGGGATAAAGAGAAGCAGAATTATTATCCTATGTGTTAAAAATTCAGTCCATTTTCCTATAATTTTCTTGAGCCACATTGATGGTTTAGAGAAATGCAAGGAAAGGATTTGACTTTTAAAACTTACACAACAGTGAGCTCACACTCTGGACACAAATAGGAGATGGAGTTTGGAAACATACCAGGAGAGCCTTTCCTGCATTACTTTCTCAACATGCTACCTAGCATATGTGGAATCCTATCTTGTTTAAATTCTCCTAAAAATTCAACAGCTTTTGTTTGGAAAACCTCTAAAAGAAGTTGTTTTGCAGCAAACCTTCATGTGGTTTCTGCAGTTATATTAATAGTTTAAAATGTACAAAGGTTTAAGCAAAGTTCATGATGGTGCTTTGGGACCAACCGAGAATTAGCACCTCATTTAGAGCCCCAGAGTCTAGTGTGACCTGGGAGGTGTCATCTCAGTCTGACCTGGCTTCGGACTGTTCCACAAGGCCATTTCTGACGGCTGCAGCTCCATCTGGGTGGCTGTGAATCCAAACATAACACCCTGGGTTTTATCGGCATGAAGTTCCTTAAAGGCAATCAGTGGGCTTATATATAAAACTCTCCTGACTGTGTATGTTCACATGTAAAATGTTTATGCACACATGCTTACACATACAGTCCTTCTCACAAGTTGCCTGTGTCATAATTGGGCAGAAATTTGCAAAAAGAGAAGGAAAATGAAAGAAGGAGAAATGCGTAAAAAGATACACCGAGCATATCAAAGAAGATATGTTAAAATAACCACAGCACATAAACAACATAAAAGCTTTCGGAAACGTTTGGGCTTTTACTGGTAACTGTAATCACAAGTTGATTAAAGATGTTCCAGCATATGCTTAGCTCTCACTTAATTATTCACATAAAAGTTTGTTTATGTGCCATGTTGCCAGCTCCCAAATCTTATTTCTCATTGTAATATTGCCAAGTTTAATTAGAAGACTGACTTCAGCACTCCACACGTTCACGTGGAAGCAGGAAATTGTGAGAGCGCTCTTGATTCCGGCATAACCGGCTTTTCACTCGGCACCCTGAAATTTAGAAGATGTTACGTTTTCTGAAGCACAACCAGCCGCTCAGTGCTGGGGAGGAATGGAAAATTGCTTTAATTGGGAGGCCGTTAATGAAAGAGGTGAAGCCGGCGGTTGACTTCTGCTTTTATCTGAATCGCTGGGGCTTACCCAGATTCATCTTTGACCTTGCCCGCGTCTGTGGTATGTATGGGTTACAGAAGTCCTTGCTGACAGAAGGAGAATACACTTTTTACCTGATGGCTCCCAGAAGAAGAATAAGGAGTTCTCTTGCTAGACAGAAATTAAAGTTCTCTACCTGGCAGGCTCAGCCTTCTTCCGGTGAACATTTGTCCGCCCTTAGGACTCTGGGAACACCAGGAACAGCTCGCTTTGTTTCGCTGCCTTCACCTCCACCCTCACGTCCATCCCTCATCTTGACTCATCCAGCAGGGCTGACCCTGGGCAACGTTTAGGAGAGAGACGGGATTTGTCTTCAGAGCCTCAACCTCCCCTTAGCTGCCTCCCCCCGCTGCTTGGCCCTCTGCCTGCGGCTGCCTTTCTCCTTTCAGGGCCCAGCAAGTGAGCACGCGTGCACACACCTCACCAACTTATTGAAATTACCCTCCATTAGGATTTGGGATTGCTGAGCTAAAAAAAAAAAAAAGAGGAAAAGAAAAGAAATTACCCTCGAGAAAGTGCTGATATTGGATATTCCATATTATTCGAGTGAATTCAAGTGAAGCTCACCTTGCCCAGGTGCTGCTTTCTTATTAAGCCTTTCCCTTAGTGTCCAATGAAAATGTCTCGGGAATCAAAGAGGGGAGAGAGTGACTGTGTGGCAGAAGAAAGCTAAAGTCATACACGTTGCTTTACTCTGGCTGTCTAGTCAGTAAGTGTCTGCGAGCCCTGTGTGCTCTGTCACTGAGCCCTGACTATATTTTGGCACTTTCATAATTGTCTCATTTCTACATCATTTCTAATTACCATTTGAAAGAGTCGAATAATTAGAAGGAGATATCTATTTTTTGTATAATTTCTATGTTTCTATAACATATTCCCCTAAATACTTCTAAAAAGGATTTGGCATGACATGTTTAATAACTAATAGCATTTAAGGATTTAACTAGGGGCTGTTGATTTTGGGGCGAAACCATTGTTCATAAGGTCCACAGAGCTTCTCAAACCTGCATTTGATTCTATATGAAGGATAAATAGTTGATTTAAATCAAAAATCTCTCATTTAAGATAGGAATAGAGCCATGATGTCAGAAAACGCACAGAAATTCAATTGTGCAGAAAGAAGTTTTGAGGCCTTATTATGGCTGTGTGTGTAGGTCACCTGTGCGATGCAATTTAAACACATTTTCACTGAGGCCATTGTTTTTTGATTTGGCATTTCAGATGACCTTATGGGTCCCAAAATGTAAGCAAAGGCAGCCTGATAGTGTTCAATCCCAGGTTGAATACAGCAGGAGGCAGGAAAGAAGAAGGAAGAAACTCTGAGAAAGTGTGAGCAAACCAGGGAAAGGCTCCAGTCTTGATACTAACTTACTAGAAGACCTTGGGCAAGTGACTTTGCCTTTCTCATCCATGGAGCCAAGGCTGGTGTCAGGAGCCAACAGGTGAACTTCGTGCACAAAGGTGCCCAGGTGGAGCCTGTGGCAATCTAGGTGCTGGCCTGGTCCCCTAGGAGTGGGAATTGCCATGGGAAACTGCAGGCCCAGGACTGGTGGGTCTTATATTTTTCCAGAAATCAAGATATTTATGTCTTTCAACTTTTAAAAGTTGTCAACTAATTTAGATATTTTTTGAAGTACTATACTTGAAATTTGGTACTAGCTTGAAATGTTGGCAAGGCCATGGGGAAACAGGCACCCTCACAACTACACTAATACAAAATGGCATAGGCCCTGTGGAATTTGGCTGTATGTATCTAGCATCTGAATTTAGCCTTTTACCCACCAATCCTACTTTCAGAAATCTATTCCAGATATGCTGAAAAACATTCAATGAGTATGATGCTGTTCCTTATGGTATGTTAATATTTGTTACTGCAAAACACTAGAAACAGCCAAAACATTCCTAAAGCAAAAATCTGGTTGAATAAACCATAGTATATCCACATAATGGAGTACTATGAAACAATGAAAGCAAATAAAGGATATGGCTACATACTACTTGGGGGTAGGAGGAGCAGTGGAAAAAGGGTATATAGCACTGTGGTTCTCAAACTGTGGTCGCTGGACCTGCAGTATCAGCATGACTTGGGAACTTGTTAGAAATACAATTTCTCAGGCTCCCACGTTAGACCTGCTAAATCAGAAAGTTCGATGGCAGCACCCAGCAGTCTGTATTTTAACAAGCCCTCCAGGTAATACACAAGTTTGATACACAAGTTTGAGAATCGCTGGTATAACAGGATTTGTTTCAGGGTAAAGAGGGAATATACCTTTGGGGTTTTTTTTATTTTTATTTTTTTTTTTAACAAAAACCTGTAAAACTAAAAATTGGTTACCAACGGGGGAATAGAAAGATTAGACTAGAATGGAAAAGAATATAGATTAGATTTCCTTTTTTTAATATTTACTTCATTTTTAAATTTTTTTTATTTTTTTAAAGGCAATGGTAGACGTCTTTGAATATGTATTTCTTCGTAGAGTTGACTTCGAAACCATGTTTTCATAATATTTTACATAATCATAAAACAAAACTAAGGTTTAAAAAGCAGTCTCCATAAATTGAAAGCAAAATGAAACTGTATCCAGTTGGTGGCATAACCACACAGAAAGAATTGCAATTGATTTGAAAATATAGTTTGCACAAAATACAGCAAATGCATCTCTGGTTTAGTAATGATAGTATTTATGGTGGTGCTGCTGTTCTGAAATTATCGCCTGTGTTGTAGGATAAAGCAAAGAAGTATATTAGTGTCATTTAGAACTGGAACTGAACCCACTATTGGGTAGAATGAACACTGTTCAGGTGATGGGCACACTAACAGCCCCAACTTAAGCATTATAAGAGGTATTCATGTAATGAAAACATTTGTACCCCCTTAATATTTTGAAATTTAAAAAAAACTGGACTGGTAGGAGAAAGAGACTAGACATAAGAATGTGACTAATTAAAAATGCTGTAGTCTTGAATCTGAATTATAAGTATTAGCATGAACTAAGGATGTATTTTATCCTTTAAAAAACACCATATTCTGGCTGGGCGTGGTGGCTCAAGCCTGTAGTCCCAGCTACTCGGGAGGCTGAGGCAGGAGGATCGCTTGAGCCCAGGAGTTTGAGGTTGCTGTGAGCTAGGCTGACGCCACGGCACTCTAGCCCAGGCAACAAAGCGAGACTCTGTCTCAAAAAAAAAAAAAAAAAAAAAAAAAACCATAATATTCCTAACTCTGTCCACTGAAATGTCCTAGAAATGATTTACCTCATATCAAGAGCATCCCTGTCAGCCATATTGTGGTCTCCAAACACTATTTCCTGCCAAAGGGAATCAGGGCTCCATGAAGCATGGGTGTGGGGTAGGAAACACACAAATAAGGTCTGGAACGTCTTGTCACACCAGAAAACAAGGAAGCTACCGAAGACTGTAGGTCAGGTCATGAATGCTCAAGAAGAGGCTCCTGCTAGCCAGCGATAGGATAATTTGAACATCAGTAAAGATAATTAACTGAAAACGATCAAAACTCATTAAATATGTTTATATTCATGAATTTACAGTGATATTAAAAAACAATTGGTCACATTTGCAGAATGCTGGAGAAACAAGGTATATTTTTTGAAAATTAAAAGAAGGAATTAAGCATTTATCTTGCCTTTCCCATACAAACTGCAGAGTAACCAATAGTTAATATAAGGAAGTTACTTTTTTTGGAAAGCTTCTGACTGTAAATGAAGAAAGAATAATAGAATTAGAAACATCACACTTTTGCAGCCCCTAATGAATTAACTACCAGTGGTGGTTGTCACAAAGAGCTACAAGCAGACATCATATGCTTCCTGTTGGAAGTACAATGCAACCTATGTTGTACTTGTGCCAAATTTTGGAACCTAAATCTGAGCAAGCCTGTCCTGAACCCCAAGGATTAGAGCAGACAGGGCACATTAGAGGAAGCTATAGAAATGTCTCAGTAACATGAGACTGTGCAGGACAAACAATCTCATTTCTCTAGCAACCAACCTGCAAGGGGAAAAAAGATAGGTGAGAATTAAAGATTAAAGGAGACTAAAGAGACTAAACCAGTTGCTGTGTGTGAATTGTATATGTAAATCAAACGAGTAAATTATTTTTAAAAGGAAAGAAAATTAAGAAAAATGAGTAGTAACTGGGAAACCTTCAAGATATTATGGAATTATTTAAGTGTGATAATATATTGCGATGCTTCTTGTTTAGTCCTTATTTTAGAGATACATACTAAAATATTTGCAAGGGGCCAGGTGCAGTGGCTCACACCTGTAATCCTAGCACTCAGGGAGGCTGAGGCAGGAGGATTACTTGAGTCCAGGAGTTTGAGATCACAGTGAACTATGATGATGCCACTACACTAGCCGGAGTGACAGAATGAGACTCTATATCAAAAAAAATAAAAAATAGTAAAAAATAAAGTAATAAAATATCTACAAGTGAGATGATGTCTAGGATCTGCTTCCGAGTGATGGGAAAGCAGGGAGCAGGTGGGATACAGACGATGGTGAGGGGTGGCTGCTGAGGCTGGGCGACAGATGCTTGGGGAGTCATTACACCATCCCCTCTACTGTCTTATGTGCTTGAAAGTTTCTGTAATGAAAAAACGTTTAACCTAATCCCAGTTTAAGGCTTCTCCGTACAGAGTCTCTTTGAATCAGAAAAAAACATTAAAGTTACAAAAAAAAAAAAAAAAAAAAAGGCTGTTGTGGGGTCACATGTGAATCCAGCATGAAGTGGTTCCAAAGGTAAAAGGAAGTGAAAAGTCAAAAAGAGCAGAACGTGGCCCTACCCCAAAATCGTTTGTGGCTCTTTCAAAAGGTAATTTCATTTTAGATTTTGCAAGAACCAATAATTCACTGGCTCAAATTAGTTTTTCCGACTGACTGTCTTAAAATCAAAAGTTTAAAAGCCTAGCTTTGGCCACTTCCCCTACTTTTTTTTTTTTTTTTTTGAGACAGAGTCTCACTGTGTTGCCTGGGCTAGAGTGCCGTGGCGTCAGCCTAGCTCACAGCAACCTCAAACTCCTGGGCTCAAGCGATCCTCCTGCCTCAGCCTCCCGAGTAGCTGGGACTACAGGCATGCGCCACCATGCCCGGCTAATTTTTTCTGTATATTTTTAGTTGTCCAATTTCTTTCTATTTTTAGTAGAGACAGGGTCTCGCTCTTGCTCAGGCTGGTCTCGAACTCCTGAGCTCAAACAATCCGCCCGCCTCGGCCTCCCAGAGAGCTAGGATTACAGGCGTGAGCCACCATGCCCGGCCTACTTCCCCTACTTTTATTTACCTCTTTCCCTTGGCTGTGTGAAGACAAATTGTGAAAAACGGAAACCCACCAAAAAGGTGACTGGGTATCTCTAATGAAAAACTAAGTGTTTTCCAGTTTATCCCTCCAGATTACATAACCCAGTGGGGTCTCTGCATCTTTCATCCTCTTAGAACTTTTTTACAATTCTGTAAATTTTAGATAACTGGTAGCAACGTGAATGATTCTTGACCACAGACATGCAAATGAATTCTGATCCACAGAGGGACAGTTGATTTCTTTATGTGCCCATCCCCATGGAAGAAACCAGTTTTGTATCTATTTGAAAATTCATTTCAGCATTTGTCATTGACCTACCTGAGTATGATACTTTCATTTCTCCTTTGATCCAGTTGTGATGTCTTATTGCCCTCCTCATTAATAGGTTAAATAAGATCTTTGACAGTGTTCGTTTTGTATTTGCGTGGAAGTTATGATTCCACCTTTTCCAAAAATTATCCTCTGGTAAGCAATTAACATTTCCTAATATCTGATAATATGACTAGGCAGCTGAAAGATGAAGATAGCCATGAAAGTAAAGAGAAATTTTAGGGAATGGGGAGTAAATCATAGCAAAAGGCGAGACCCCCACGCTTGTTAGTTGAACATGTATTGCATTTGCAGCACTGCTTCCGTGCTAGATGTGGGGAGAGGAGTAACCTTAGATCCTGCTCTCAAATAACTTTCAATTTAGTAGGAGAGTGGGGATTCAGCAGTTCAACAAACATCATGTGCCAGACGAACACAGTATGTGGCCCCTAACCCAAAAGAACCCACAGCTTAATGTGGAAGACATAAAATGATACTATCATTTGTTAAATGCTACGGGAAAGGTAAATACTGGGTGTTGTGGAACCCAGAGTAGGAGCAGTTGGCTCAGCCTAGGAAGGCTCGTTGGAAGAAATAAAGCCTAAAACTCAATCTCAAGGGAGGTTTAGTGTCTAGCCCATGGAAAGTGAGGGAAAGACAGTGGGCAGAGAAAACTCGTGTATGCAAGGACTCGAGAAATTATAGTGGCAGCTTTCTCATGCCTGGCACATACTTCCAACGTGTTCTTACCACGTGATATTCAAATCATCTTCTCTTTCTGTCCTATGCCACATATCTTCCAGAGGACTTGTGAGCACTTTGGGGCAGAAACTTTATTCTCATCCCTTTCCTATTTGTCTTCAGATTCATTGTAACACAGCTGATGCCTAATAAATGTACGTTGGACTCAAATGGGTTCAAGTGTGTGTGGATTCTAGGTACGGGACGAGGTATTAATAGAAAAATGGGCACAGATGATGCCAGCGGGGCTCAGGAGACAGGCCAGTGTGATTAGAAAAACAAATGTAAGGGCCTGAATGCTATTTCTTTTAAATGAATGTTGATGTCTGTGCTTTCTTCGCCTGTAAAAATCTCTTTTGTTTCTTCACAGAGTGAAGAGTTCCACGTTTATACCCAGTATTGCACTAACTATCCCAGGTAACTTGTGTTCCCTCTCACATCGTCTCGAGTCAGTCGGTCCCGTGTCTGCGGGTTGGGCGTTGTATGCCTGGCCCTGTGCCGAATTCTATGGGAAGAATGCAAAACATGCTGAGAACAGATTACAGGGGCACCCAGACCTCGATCTGGGCTTTGAGGCTCCCAGCAGAGGTAGTGTAGGGAAAAATTCTGGAAGACTTTGTAAGAGACTAAAAAGATCGCTAAGTATCTCCAAAGAAAAACCAAGTGAGCCAGCTGCATCAGGCTGTAAGCCTGGTCTGTGAAGCCTTTTCTATGTGTGCCATGTTTTTAAGAATTTGGGAAATACTGCTAGTGAGCTTATATAGTCTAGCCAGGGAGAAAATATGTTTTATGTTTGCTGTATAAATTTTATGAACTATGTAAGTTTTGTGGAGTTCGGAGAAAGGACACAGGAGGATTTTAGTCTCCTCCTCTTAATGTTGGTCAGGATATTGTGCCATGATGATTTATTTGGTTGGTGGCCAACCATGCGTCTCCCAGGTTTCCCTAAAAAAAAAAAAAAGCAAATAACAAAAAACCCACATGCATATTAGAGCATTTATCAGAGATCCTTACCTGTAGACTCGCCATCATTTACAGTTTCACTTAAGCAATTTTCCCTCCTAAAGTATTTGTTTCCACCTCAATGATGAAGCTACCAGGAAATTGTAGGAGGCCCCAACTAAATCCCATGGCTCTTAAACCAAAAACCAGCTTGCACCACACCCTAATCAGAGAAATCACAGAATCAGCCCTCAATTTCTCCACAAAACTTCCTGAAGAAAGGAAAAAACATTCAGACTCTGAAGAACCCACAAAGTTCTAGACTGATTATCAGAATCTAAAATGACGGCCTCGTGTAGGAGATTATGTCTCTGTAAATTTCATTATAAACATACCGTTTGAAGAAATAACTTCTCTATATAAGCTTCCAAAGTTTCAAATTCAGAAGATTTTCTGACTTACTAAGAAAGACGAGTACAAAACAAAGGCAGTCTTTTTATACGCTAGGCTGCTTCCAAGTCAAGGGAAGGCAAAATCATTTGTGCAAGAATATTTTGAAGAGCCTGTCATTCACGGAGCACTGTTGCAAGGTCAGTCTATATTGGCAGGAAACAGGAACAAAGATCTCTTGCCTTCAAGCAGTTCATATTCTTTTGAGGGTCAGAACTCGACTAAGTGCAATGGTGGACTAGCGTGTTAGATGAATATGAATCAATATAGGACACAGTCAGTAATGTGCAATATAATAGAAGCTAAAGATACCCAAGGTAGGAAGTAATCAGTCCCAGTAAGGATAGCTAAGGATAATTTTCTGGAGGAAGTGAGGAGTTTGTTTTGTTTTGAGTCTGACTTTGAAGAAACATGTTAGCAGAGAAGTACTCGAAAGGTGTTCTCAGTGAAGAAGGCATGTCCGGTTCTTGCCCAGTTGTGTGCTTTTCAGATTCATAGGGAAATACTTTCTCTTGCCCCCTCGTCTGCAATCAGTTTGCCGTCTGAGGCCCGACAATCCTTTTTTCCCCTGTCTTAACAAGCCATGAGTGCCAGGTGTTAGGGCCCATCTGACAATGTTTCTTCCCCCTTTGGATCCAGGCTGGTGATATTAAATGTCAGCACACCTTGACAGATGTCCACTTTCTTCATACCAGTCACACCCCAGTGACTTTGCTGTGAAGAGACATGAGCCCCCACCTCCCTGCTTCCCCCAGGGAGGGGCACAAACCTGGTCAGGTCATTGTCCTCAGATGCCTGCCCACGCCCCAGACTTCTGGGAACTGGGAGCTGAGCATGCTCCCAGTTTGTGGCAGGTCCTTATCTTGAGCAAGAGCTCAAGCCTTCAGGTGGCCAAAGGGCTACACAGTGACTGATTCTGATTCTAAAGAACCTTAGAAAAGTTCCCAGGTTACGTGATGTAGCCGAGTTTTGAAATCTCAACTCAAGGAGGAAGCAAATCAGTTTGAACAGATATTTCTCAAGCAGATGGGCCTAAAAGGGATTCCAATGGCTTAAGTGTGAGACTCCCATTTACCTTCCTTTCATGGAACCTTATTTTGTTCTTTGGCTCTATATGATTTTTTTCAGTTAATCCTGGAAATATATTACTCACTTGGGTAGAAAGGAGCTGAAATTATTTCTACCTGCTTCCTTTTACATTATGAAGCCATAAGATTTTAATTTACGTGTGTGTGTGTGTGTGTGACTGCACTAGCCTGTTAGCTTGCTTTGTGTATAAGACACAAATGTTGTTTCAACAATTCCTTTAAGATGTTTTGGGGCTAAACGCATTCCCTGTGGGGGAGCTGGGTGGAGAAGGAATTCTCACCCATGTTTCCAGTACCCTGCACTGAGGCACACTCCATAGGAGTAAGGCTGTCTAGCCTTTCCAGAAGCTGTATTCAGAGTAAGGAGAACCACTTGGAGGTGGAAAGGGAGATCTGTTCAAGAATCCTCAACGGGGAGTTAACCGTGGGAAGAGGTCTCTAAGGAGGGCCACCACATAAGGTCACGCAGTCTGTGCATCATATAAAGTGACCGGCAGAGGGAGTAACAAATGCCCTGGCAGGGGGCTCAACCTGCTGGCAAGAAGAAACTCCTTTTTCTTAGTACAAAGGTGCCTACTCCTTATAATCTAACCCGTGCAAACTGAATACAGACGTGCAATGTGAGCACTGCACAGTAGGGGCTAAAATCCCACTCAAATACCTGGGCAGCCATGGCACTACTCTCTCTGGGCCCAGGGCCTTTTTCTAACTCCCCCTCCCAGAGGGATGCTTTATCTAATCTGCCCAAAGGCGTGCTAGTCTGGCTATAGCTCTGTGGCCACCCTACCCGTTTTAGGGCATTTACACTTAACAACTGGCATTTAAAACTTGAATACCTGTGTAAAAAAGCATTATGATTTAGATAAGAACATTTACTCTTCTTGCAGATCAGTGGCTGTGCTCACAGAGTGCATGAGGAACAAGATACTGGCCAAATTCTTCAGGGAACGTCAGGAAACTCTGAAACGCTCATTGCCTCTGGGGTCCTATCTCTTGAAACCAGTTCAGCGGATTCTCAAATATCATCTCCTTCTGCATGTAAGTTTCTGCCTGCACTTGAGCACTTGCCAGGCGATGGGGATTTTGTGTGTATATATTAAGTTTGGGGGAAAATACCAGAAAAGGCTATGGACATATGGAAACATTTTCCACACTCATATTTTACAAGTGACTAATCTGCTTTGAGAAATTAGAGATATTTGTATTCTAGGCCTGTAGCCCCATTGACAACAGCCAAGTAGAGAGATTAATTTTAGCTCCGATTCTGGTCGGGTTTAGGAGTGCCTCGCACTGGGCAGTGACAGTTTCAGGCAGGGAGCTATCGTCTAAATGAAAAATAGACTGTTTAATGTTTTGTTTTATTTCCATGAGGCCCGGTTCAGTAAGCAGCTGGGAGGGAGGGGAGGCTATTTGTCATAGATTGGCTTTTGTACCAGAGCAAAGAGAAAGGGGCTGAAAGGGCGAGGACAGATGAGCAGTGTGGTGAGTGATCTCCCAGCCGGGCTCAGCCTCACCCCAGGATATCTTTATATTCTTTTCCACTCCTCACAAGATTCAAGGAGGCTTTGGAAACAAACATAGTCGAAGCTCTCAAATTCTCACTTCTTATCCTCTAAGGAAGTTGACACAAATGGAAAAAGGTTTTATTGAGGTGATCTTCATTCTGTAAGGAGGACTTGCTCACCTTTCGACAGCAGAGAGACAGTGTAGCAGGGTGATTCGGAACAGGGCCCGGGGGCAGGACTGCCCGGGTCCAAATCCTATAAATTGCCCACATTCACTGTGGCTTATAAGCACTCCATAAAAATAAGCTGTTGTTTTTATTGTATTATTTTTATATTACATTAAAAGTCCCTTTTTTAAAGGGATTCGAATCCCGAGCACCTGTCTGTCAACATGTCTGTAGTTCACAGGTATCTCTTCTTAAATGATTCCAGGTTTCCAACTTGCATCATCATTTCAGATTTGCTCAGTTCACACACGTTTAAAATTTTAAGAATTTTGACAGTCCAGCTTTACCAGAAATTCCTTAGCTTTGTCTCTTTGTCTGGGTGGCTCATCTTTGGGGATTCTTATATCCCATGAAGCCTCATCAGAGACATTACTTTAATTTTTAAATTGATCCTAATGTCCTCTTAGTGTTAGTGGGATTGATTAGCTGCATCCAAATAATTCTTAAATAAATAATATCTGTCCCAAGACACATCTCTGCTGAACCCTGTTAATATGACATCTAACCTTAGCGTGTCCCAGTAATCCCTAACGTGGTCTTCTAGAAAGGAGAGGGCCACCAATCAAAAGTCTGCGATCTCAGTGAAGCATGCGACACAAGTCAAGATCTTTACAAAAAGTTAATTAATAGGAAAAACAGCCCTTACCCTCTATGTTAAGAGCTGGCAATGAAGAAAAAAGAGAAGAAAAGTATTTGGATTAATCCAAAACTAACTTGTAGTTGCCTTTGAAGTCTTTTTTGCTCTTATAGTTGATTAGAGTGTTCCCTCTGTCATTCACATCATTTCGCAGTTGCATAGCGATGCGTGAAAATCCCCCCAGGAATATCCTCTGTACTTCTCAGTCTGTACTTCTCAGTCTGTTTGATGAACAGAATTGCCTGTCAGGCTAAATCAAGGAATTATTATTTCTTAAAATTTGCCATTGATCTTGAACTTACCTGGGAGTCATTAGTTTCGTTAGTATGGTTTCATAGGGCCTTTTCAACAGCTGAGTCTGAATATGGAAAGTAAATGTAACTTCCTTACCCATTTCTAACTAGATGAAAAACCTGAGTACTCAGTAAAAGTAAACAAAGATTTACAAAGTGTTACTATAGTAATAGAATGTTGCCCAGGCTGGTCTTGAACTCCTGGGCTCAAGTGATCCTCCCACCTCAGCCTCCCAAGTAGCTGGGACGACAGGTGTGCACCATCACTGCCAGGGGCTTGCTGTGTTGCCCAGGCTGGTCTTGAACTCCTTGCCTCAAGTGATCCTCCCGCCTCAACCTCCCTAGCTCATGACTGCTAGGATTACGGGCATGAGCCATGGTGCCTGACTCTGTTGTTGTTTTTAAGAAGATGTAGCTTCAATTTAATAAACATTTATTGACCACAGAGCTCTCTGCCAGGCATTGTGGAGATGATAAAGAAACAAAGGAACTATGTACAATAGTCTCTAGCTTTAGGCTCTTCGAGGAGTCTAGGGACAGGTATTTTATGTGCTCCAAAGAATTAGAACAAAGATTGTGTCCCTTTCTCATGTCCCTGGGATCATGGACCTCCAGTGCTAAGATGAGTGCTAATGTAACATACTTCCAACCATCAGAGAGTGGAATACTTGAACCATGCGATGTCTTTCAACACTGAAGGCTTGTCTTTAGTGAACTTCATTTGGGCTTTAAAACCTTAACCACATGAATATGCACTTGCTATAGAAATTTTTTTAAAGATAATGTCCACTATATTTTTGAAGCTGTTATATATTAAGGTCCTGTGTGAGACATTTGTTTCCTCTGGGAGAAAAATAATAAAGTATGTTTTTTATCTTGTAAGAGCGAGAACTACATTGCTAAGAACCATGTTACACTGGCCACCAAGAAGCTCAGAACTCCATAGCTATAAGATCAACTCTTGTATCTATTATAATAACTATAATATCTCTGTAAGACTTAATGACCATGTACATCTTTTATCCTCTTTGTCCTGGAATTGTATTCTACTTTTGTTTTTATTATTCCTGTTTTTATTCCTATCTTACCATTATTTTTCAGGTATTTCTGGCCTCAAAAGCTTAAGGAATGATGGTAGTGTGTAAATAAAATAAAGTAAAATATAAGGAACTAATCATAGAGGTGCCATTTGTTTCATTGGCTATATGAGAAAAAATGGAAATTAACTAGTTTTTTTTTTTTTTTTTAAAGGAAATAGAAAATCACCTTGATAAGGACACAGAAGGCTATGACGTGGTGCTTGATGCTATAGACACGATGCAGCGAGTAGCCTGGCACATCAATGACATGAAGCGGAAACACGAGCACGCAGTTCGGTTACAGGTGGGCCTACCAGGCGTCGGTGCCCAGCAGTGTTGTTGGTACACTGAGCTGTTATCCTTTTCTAAATCAAATAGTAAAGCGGCTCAAGTATTGCACTTCATTCGTGGTCTTCAGTACAGTTCTGTCTAAAGAAAGGTCAGGACACCGGTAATACTGATGATTGTTTAGTACAGCTATTTAGTAGAAAGTTACATTGTAACTTTTAAGCTATAGTTTGCTCATAGTCCCTTTGATGACCCAAGTTAAAAATTTGAGTCTCCCAAGACCTTTTATTAATTATAAATTAGTAATTCTTGTTGAAAGAAACTGTCTCTAAGACATTTGAAGGCTTTTTAAGCCTTTATTCCTCTCTTGCTAGCTCCAGTGAAATCACAAGAGGGTATAGATGTGACCATAGGCAAGGGACTCAGAGGAAGGGCAGTGAAGGCTGGAACCAGCTCCTTTGCAGTTTCAGTGGGACATGACTTCACATCATTTTAGTTTCCTCATTTTTTAAATAAGACAGAGAAGAAGTTTGCTAAGGTCCTATCCAGCACCAAAATTTTGAGCCCTAAATCCTTGGAGACTATTTTTTTTTTTTTTTTTTTAAGATAGAGTCTCTCTCTCTCTCTCATCCAGGCTAGAGTAATGTGGCATCATCATAGCTCACTGCAACCTCCAATTCCTGGGCTGAAGTGATCCTCCTGTCTCAGCCTCCCAAGTAGCTGGGACTACAGGTGCCACCACACCTGGCTAATTTTTCTATTTTTAGTAGAGATGGAGTCTTGCTCTTGCTCAGGCTGGTCTCAAACTCCTGAGCTCAAGCAATCCTCCCACCTCAGGCTCCCAGAGTGCTTGGGAACTTTTGATAGATTCTGGGCCAGTGATCATGTCCCAGGCACCTCAAAAGATAATGTACTATTATGTATACTAGTATAGATTACTATACTAGTATATCTCAAAAGATATACTATTAAAAACAACAAAATGCATGGGCCCAGAGGTCAGCTCCAGGTTCCTGGGTATCCCTAGAGTGAGACAGAAAGGCCCACAGTGACTGCATGCTATGCAGAGCGGCCAAGCCTATCTCTGGAAAAAAAGATACGTTATTTGGCTCATAAGTCAGAACAAATACTAGGTTTCGGGTATGGACAGCCATAGCGTGATGTGATACCACTGACTATCAAAAATTGGAGCAAGATGACATTCTAATCTTCCAGACCACTTTTATTTTTTGCAGCAGTAACAGAAAGTTTAACGCTTTATCATTCGAGTGTTTTGCAAACATAATGTTGACATCTATTGCATACAGTCATCCCCTCTTATCTGCAGTTTCACTTTCTACAGTTTCAGTCACCTGTGGTCAACCAAAGTCCAAAAATATTAAATGGAAAATTCTAGAAATAAACAGTTCATAAGTTTTAAATTGCACACCATTCTGAATATTGTGATGAAATCTCATGCTGTCCTTCTCCTTCCCACCTGCTACATGAACCAGTGTATCCATGCTGTCTACAGCTGTCAATTTAGTAGCCAGCTCGGTTTTTATTTGTTTGCTGTCTCCCCACCCCACCAGCTTAGTTCTTAGATCAACTGTTGAGGGATCACAGCACTTGTGTTTAAGTCAACCACATTTTAATTAATAATGGCCCCATAATGCGAGAGAAGTGATGCTGGCATATTGTTGTAATTGTTCTATTTTATTAGTTATTGTTATTAATCTCTTACTGTACCTAATTATAAATTTAATTTTATCATAGGTATGTATGTATAGGAAAAGGCATAGTATAGATAGGGTTTGGTGCTATCCGTGGTTTTAAGCATCCACCGGGGGGTCTTGGAATGTATCCCCTGCAGATAAGGGGTGGGGTGGGGGCGACTACTACATTTGGAAATGGCTAAATGGCTGGTTTTTCATATGAATCTGCTTGGCATTCTGAAGTCACTGTTAAATCAGACCAAGGCTCAAACTTATCTCCGTTTCTACCCATTTCTATTTTAAACCAGTGAAGTTTCTGATTATCTTGTAGGCTCTTGAATTAAATGGTGCTTGTGAATATTTCCACTTTTGAAAATAATTTTAAAAAAAGACTTCCTTTAAAAATGCCAATTTTTTTTTGCCATGACGGGGTCTCACTATGTTGCCCAGGCTGGCCTCAGACTCCTGGGCTCAAGCAAATCTCAGCTGCCCAAGTAGCTGGAACTTATAAGCATGTGCCACCGTACCTAGCAAAAAATGCTGATATCGATGTATGGTAAATCCCAAAGAAATGTCAGTCATGTTATCAATCTATATTTATCAAGTTCCATTAAAACACTAAAACATAAGTTAGGGGCAGAGAAAGGTTCATTTCCTTTCCCCAAATAAGTGAATTTAAAATCAGGAAGATTCTGAGAAAGTGTCTCTTGGGTAATTTTACACAGGCTGTAGTTTTGAGCTACTTATATGTGATACGGACCTCAGTATCTGGAAGAAAGTTTTCAAGTCAACAGCTCTGAAGGTTTTAACCAGAGAAGAGGGGGTGAGAAAGTCAAGAGAAGGAAACCTGTCCGAGAATGTCCCATACCGGTTGGGGAGGGGGGCCGACCTAGCTTCTGAAAGATTTAACTGCTGCTGCCAGCCACAGCACAGGGATTATTAGATAATAGAAATAAGTAGTTGGCAACTTATCAACTAGCAACTTGATTCATTTCTGTTAACCCTTAAACACAGATTTATGTCGTAGACCGATAGATACCACCTAGGCCATTAGACCCTGTTGTGGACCACCAGTCACCGTCCGTGGGTCTCGACAGATGGGCCACCAGGTCCTGGCGCCTTGCTTTCCGTGCCCTGTTGAGTCCCACGGCCCGTTCCCTTTCTCAGGAGATACAGAGTTTGCTCACTAACTGGAAGGGGCCTGACCTGACCAGCTACGGGGAACTGGTGCTCGAGGGAACCTTCCGCATCCAGCGAGCCAAGAACGAGCGGACGCTCTTCCTGTTTGACAAGCTGCTGCTCATCACGAAGAAGAGAGACGACACGTTTACGTACAAAGCCCACATCCTGGTAGGTCTGAACGCCGCCGGTGGCAGGCGAGGACTCGGGCCGGTTCCGTCCTCACCCTCTGCTCTCTCTGCCCCAGTGCGGCAACCTCATGCTGGTGGAGGTGATACCGAAGGAGCCGCTCAGCTTCAGCGTCTTCCACTACAAGAACCCCAAGCTGCAGCACACGGTGCAGGTAACGGCAGCCCCGGCCTCCTGCCCAGGCCTCCCTGGCGAGGCGAGAGCGCCGCGTGCCGGGAGGCCTCTGCAGAGCTTTGCGGCCGCATGGCGCGTTCCCCCGGCCTGCTGGAGGGCGCGCGCGGCGGGGGCGTGAGCCGTCTGACCGCGGCTCTGTCTTGGCAGGCCAAGTCCCAGCAGGACAAGCGCCTCTGGGTCCTGCACCTGAAGAGGCTGATCCTGGAGAACCACGCGGCGAAGATCCCGGCCAAGGTAAGACGCCGGCGTGGGTGAGTGGAATTGCAGTCGAGCTAAACGTTTGACCTCAGAATAAAGAAAAATTGAGGGCGGCCGGGCGCGGTGGCTCACGCCTGTAATCCTAGCTCTCTGGGAGGCCGAGGCGGGCGGATTGTTTGAGCTCAGGAGTTCAAGACCAGCCTGGGC